ATAATATTTTAAATAATTAGTGAATAAGTAAGTAAATATAAAAAAAATACAATGAAAAATATAAAAATGTATGTTCAATTAATTTTATTTTATTATAAGTTTATTATAAATTTTATTACAAATATTTTATATACATACGTATAACATAAAAATTTCAAACAATCAATTTTGATGGATGACTTAGTATTATATTAGTTAAAGCAAAGTTATATTAAAATGACAATGGTCGTTACATATTATGACTATAAATGAGCGTAAAATTACGCTCATGCGAAAATAAATAACTAGCAATGAAAGGAGTTGTTCTCCTTTATTGACCTTAGAGAGGTCTCTAAACTTTTTGGCTAGAAGTAGCCAAATTAAATACGGTCGAGGATGACCAAAGGATACGAAGAAGATGACCAAAATATTGGTCAGAAGTAATAAATAAACGAAAAATACATATGTATTTCTACGTGCAATAGCACGCAATAAAATAAACGTGTAAAATAAACGGGTCCGACATAAAATATACGTTAACATTTAAAAAATAAATCAAGACGCGCAAAATAAATGGCGACGAAAAAGAAATCGATTCGCGAATCGTGTTTAGGGCACGGAATTTCCTAAATCTTAAGTAATCGCGGATACTTGCTGGCCTAATCAGCAAATAAAACTACTACAGTTTTTAGGATCGGTAGGGCTGTTAGGATGGATAGGGCTGTTAGGATCGGTAGAACTGTTAAGATCGGTAGGGTTGTTAGGATTTGTAGGATTGTTAGGATCAATGTAAAGCTGTTAGAATGGATAGGGCTGTTAGGATTGATAGGCCTGTTAGGATCGATGGGGCTGTTAGGATTGATAGGGCTATTAGGATCGATAAGGAATGGTAGGATTATTAGACTGTGAATTTTAGTTAAACTATAGTATTTTATATAGTAAGATAATTACTATATAATGTACTATAAAGCTTTCCCTTATTGAAACATAAGATATAATTTAAAAGCGCAAAATTGTATATTATATTATGTAAAATTGTATATTAATTGTACTCTGAAAAAGCTGTACAATCAAGATTGATGTATAATGTTTGACATCAGTCTTGATTTTTTTAATAAATATTCACATTGCATATATAATGTGAGTTACACGCAATGTGGATATTTAATAATTTGATTGTGTTGTAAATTACGTTTTTATATATACGAATTATATTATTAATTATATTAATCATATAATTCGTATATATAAAAATAAATATAATATAGTAAATATTGTATGTTATTATAAACATTTTACATAATGTTAAGTTCAAATTTAAATGCTATCATTATCTAATAATGCCGATAATTAAGATATTAAATAAAGCTAAATTAAATATTAGAACATAAATAATTTCTTATTTTTTTAAATTTACAGTTTTAAATTTACAGTTTATATATATATTCGATTTGATAAAATATTGTCATTTATCAATTTAAGCAATAAAAGACGTATTTATTTTGGAACATTTTTGTGCAAATTTGCAACTGATATCGACTTATTTGATAAAGATAGCATCAATTTAATTTATATTCTACATCTATACTATGTATATAATCAATATATTGTAATTTATATATTGTAATAATTTATATATATTGTGTATATATATATATATATATATATATATATATTTATTTATATGTGTGTGTGTATACATTGCAATTTATATATTGTAATGATACAATATTGTAATATTATAATAACGTAACATTATAATAATATTGTTATCTATATTATCTCTAAATACTATAATTACATATTGTAAATTATATTAATTGCACAAAATTGAAAAAATGCACATAATACATATCACAAAATTTACAAAATTAATATATATATCCAATAAATACTCGTTGTCTGTTAGACATTTTATTTTAAAATTATTCTAGAATTCAATAGTCTGTTTTTGATACTAAAGTTAATAAATACGAAAAATTTTTATTTCCAAATTTCGTAGTTTCAATTACCTTTTTAATTATTATAATGCGTAACATAAAAATGATTAAATAATGTATGTGATTTGATATTAAGCCAACAATGCAATATTAATTTCTCACTCGCGAAATTTAATACTTGCTCTTTCGATAATGCAAAATCGCAATTTGACAAAATTATTTAGAAGTTCGGGATTTTGTCAATTAAATATATTCGTGAATTTGCGAATTAAAATTAAATATTTGTTAAATAAATGAATAATATTTGTTAAATAAATGTATAATTAATATTACAAACATCGCGTTTTTTTCGTCTTTTTAGTTTGAGGCGCGATTGCTATCTTATTGTCTTTCGTGTAAATACTAACGCGGTTTGTGCTATCGAAAAAATGGTCTTTATTGCAGAAATATAATTTCTCGTCGGTTTTTGAACAATTAATCTACAACGAATTCAATGCCTCGTTGAAAATTAGGAGTTTCGCTGCAGAGCTGGAATTAAACCCAGGTTTTTTCGACAGTTCCTGAAAGCAATGGTTTTAACAATGAGTTAACGACAGATTTTTTTAAAGTCGATTCACGAAATTATAATTAAAATAATATACTTTGAACAAAGAATTTTTTCTTCTTTTATTAAATCTTCTTCTGTTATTATTATTCTTAATATTAATATCGGTTTAAAAATTTTTTTATTGCTTCGGAAAAGACTTATTGTTAGTAGTAAAGCATTGAGCATGGATGTAGCTATTATATAGAGATAAATATTAATTTACCAAATAGGTATATTTAAATTGTAATTTATTTGTTCGTCTCTGAACTTTTTTTAACAAAATATATGGTTACGAACGAATATGTTTTATTAATTGATTTTTAATTAACTTTACTTTTGATCTCTTTTGAGAGATCATTTCTAGGTGTTGGACATCCTACCATTTTAAGTCATTAATATTAATTTTTAAGTATAATTCGCTTGATATTTTATATAGAAAATTTGTTAGATATTTTACATGCAGGAAATATATGCGCAAAATGTGACACATTTGATAAAACTTTTCTTTTGTTAATATTATATCAATAATATTATATTAATACACACAGATATACATGAAATGTACAAGTACTAAAAAATTCGAGGCAAGTCGAATGGGTACCCTGATATCAGTAAGATATCGACATATTAATATATTATTAAATATATTATAGTAGAATTAATAATTTTTTATTTTACGTCGCGAAATATTTAAATACGAAATTATTCAAAATCTTGCTGTTATTGGGTTCGACTCGTCTCGAACAGTTGGTACCCGAAAATTATTGTACTCGTACATTTAACAAGCGATGAATGCGCATATGTTTCATGATTCTTAAACATACTCGTTTGTAACCATGCACAGTTCCATAAAAATAGTTATATTATAATAGTTTTATTATTTATTAATAAAAAGACATTTTTAAATAATGGAAGAACATTTTTTTGAGTAAATTTCGATCTTGTGAATGAAAGATGGTGATGATAATTGTCATTGATTCATTGAAATGGTAAAATCATTGCTATTGGGAGTAATCTGGAAGATCTGAGATTCGTTCCATTTTGCAGCGGAACTCTTGATATTTAACGATTCGTTTAATTTTCCTTCGCGAATCAATCTCGATAGAATTCTACATAAAACATACGTTAAAAAAAGTCGCTCTCTACATTTAATATTGTTCTTCTACCTGTCGAATATTAACTGACGATTGGGCAAAATTATTTTAATCTTTCGAATTGTTATCATCAGATTATCCGCGAGATATTTTCATCTTAATATATTTAATTGCAATTATTATTTTTTTACTTGATCGTTGGCTTATACAAAATTTTGCTTATTTTTTCACGTGGCAAACTTTCTTAAAAAATTAAAATGTATCAATATAAATACTTTTCTTTTTGTAATTAAAAGATATAATTGATGAGATATAAGATATAATTGATAAGATATAATAATTAATGAAGAAATATAATAGGTAATGTAAATGTATTGGCGATTTTTTCATCGCAACTTATTCATATTACGCAATCCTTAATAAGTTTTGTAATGAAAAATCGATAATTAATAAATATCACGAATAATTTGAATCGTCTGTTTGAAAATCATTTGATTTAATTTTGAATGAATGTTGTGTGCATTTCAGACATTTTCGTGTAATTTTATATCATAAGATATTTTGTACTAATTTATAAATATTATAATTATATTTATAAATTATATATTGTAATTATATTATATAAATATTATAAATTCTTATCATAAATATATTGTATATGTTGTAAATATTATTATATATTGTAATAATATTTTATAAACTATTTATGTTATACTTTATAGTTCAATTATTGTATATTTTATATTGAATAATTATATATTTATATAATTAATATATTATAATTATATGTAATTATATTATATAAGTATATTATCTTTTATAAAATATGTATGTTACTTTTTACAGTTCAATATTATTATTGTATATTGTATATTGTATATTTGTCTCTATTTTGTAAAATAATATTATATTTATTATATTTAAATAAAATAATTATAATAAAAATTTTACCTCTTCGATGGTATCTCCACCTTAACGAAGGCATTTGCCGGGTGAGGAGGTTTGAGTACTCTAATGATCCGGAGAGCTATGCCGGCAGTAATATAGGCCGATATTACAATCTGTTTTTATATTTAATCATCTTAAATATAATCTTAGATCGCATCTTAAAATTCTGTTCAGTCTCAATGAAATAACAAACATTTTCTAAATTTTACTTAAAACGATTTTAAATATAAGATTGTGTGAACACCGGCCTTAATTACTGGTAGGGTCACCCATGCCGGATAGGTCAAAGAGAAAGAGTTAGACTAAGAGAGATACCCCGTAATTATAATTATTATATTAATAATTATTAATTATTAATTATTAATATAATAATTATATTATAATACTTAGTTATAATATTTAATTATATTATGATACTTAGTTAATAATTATTATAGATAGAAAGTATCTTTTATTAAAGATATACAATGCGCTTTTGCAGGGAGCGTTCTCGAACCCTTTACATCTTAAACCCTCTAATTTTCCCGACCTGGCCGCTTTTGCGACCCATACATTCTAGAACCCCCTCCCTCCCCACGCACCCTTCCCCCTTCCTCCTCTTAAACAGGACCCTCCCCCCTAAATCCCTTCCTTCTCCCTCTCTGTATCTCCCTTCATTCCGTCCTGCTTCCTCTCGTTCTTTCCCCTTCCTTTCTCCTCCCTTTTGATGCTCCTTCATCCTTTCCTCCTTCCTGTCCTTCTCAGGGCCCTTCGTGCATCTTCCTCCTCCTTCCTCTACCCTCATGTGCTCTCTCCTTTACCGCTCTTTCCTGCAACATAATAGTTAATAATTATTATATATTTTGAATAAGATGGAAGAGAGTAAAAGAATGATAAAACCATAAGAAGAAAGAAACGCGAGTCCCTATGGTCTTGGGAATGCGACAGATCACAACACTGCAAAGATTTGAAGAAGATCGGATAAACATGCGTAGTAATTAAGAATAGCTTGCAATTAAATTGATTAATAGTAGTAGTACTTTATATAATTATGTTACACTTTATACTTTAGCACATTGTATTATATATACATATAAAGCATCAAGCATTAAATATTTTGCTGTTATGAAAACTATAATAAAATAATATAAAAAATTTACTATATAAAGTGCAATATTTGAAAGCATATCTGACGAAATACTGTTAAAGATCGATGATTTTACAAAATTTACCGTAATCACAAAACATTTATATATTTATGTGTGTGTGTGTGTGTGTGTGTGTGTGTGTGTGTGTGTGTGTGTGTATGTATGTATATGTGTATATATATATATATATATATATATATATATATATATACACATTTTGACAAATTCTGTTATATATAAAATGGATATCCACGCAAAAATTTAATAAATATCAATATATGTAATATATGTAATATATATATACATATATATATATGTAATATATATATAAAATATATATGTAATATATATAAATATATATATGTACACATAAGTATCCACTGGATGTTGTATGAATATTTTGTGGATAATGGCTTATACATCTTGTGGATATTTATGAAACTCGTTTGCCGAATATTTGGATATCTATAGCTATTTCTAATAACTGATTCTCATATGCTCGTGGATATCCTTAATGTGTATGAAAAATATTCAATGAATCTAATATCAATTATTTTCTGTATGGGTATACTTTCTTTCTTATAAAAATGTCCGTGTTAAGGGATCTTGGGTCGCTTCTTTGCTATCCCAATTCTTCAACTCATCTAGAATTTTTATTAGGAACGGATTGCCTCCTAAGCGATCAATCTCAGCTCTTACTTTCAACTCCAATTCTTCAAGTACGCTTCTTGTATACTTGAGAGAGCCAAATTTCTCTAACAATTTAATGCAATGACGTTTCATTTCGATATCTTTCGTTCGTTGTTTCAAAATATCTTTATCAGGCATTATTAAGGAAACATATATATATATATATATATATATATATATATATATATATATAATAAAATTATAAATAAAATTATGAAATATCTGAAAATTGTATATGTGTATGTATATGATGAGAAATGTAGGGCTGCTTACATTTCTTTAGTAAATGTGTTACTAGTGAGTTAATTAAAAAAATATAAACAAATAATATATAATAAAGGATACTCATTATTTGCGTATCATCAGGATTGGTTTTAAGCGCATGAATAACTGGAAAGCTGAATTTTCCTTCAGTCAAATCATCACAGTAACTATTTTCGGTATACTATAACAAAAAATATATTGATAATTCAATTTTTTCAGTTTATTTAAGTACGTATAATGTTGCAAATATATATATTATTACTCACATCACTGAGGCATAAATTACAATAATCGTCACGTATTTGATAGTATAAACTCAAAAGAGCTAACAGCGGCGATAAATCTTCTTCGTAAGTTGAGAACAAATTCATTAATCTTATTGGCAAGTTAAAGAGAAAACCAATCTCTGTAAAATTAATAGATATTTCATGTGTATATATATATATATATATATATATATATATATATACACCCAGTAAACACTAAGTAACAGTAATATAATTATTAGTTATAATTTCCCACTCAATAATATAATTGTTACAGTTATATAACATGTATAACTTGAAGTTTGCGTATATATACATATTATATATATATTATATATATATATATATATATATATATATATATATATAAAATTTTTTATATGTAATTTTTTTATTTCAAAGAAATATATATATGTGCACACACAAATATTAACATTTACTTTTTATTGCCATAGCCTTATAATCTTCCTCACTTGGACAAATGAAATTATCCCGCCAAAAAATATCTATTCCTTGACCTCTATGAAGTTCCAACAATTGTTCTATATATACTTTTGTTGCCTGAAAGAAAAACGTAGATAGTGCAATAATACAACACACAATTTTATCTAACATGCATTATGGAGCTTATCTTTTACAATTTTAACGACATTTAATGTGCTTTATATTAATTATGTTAAAATATCATAAAATGTTTATTTTTTTTTAACGATAAAACATTTATGTATGTTTTTCTTTTCAATCAATTCCTCGCAATAATTTTTATTTTTTCTATAACAAAATAATCTTTAATTTTTTTCGATTTATTTAAATATATAAATACCATATAATCCAAGGATAGTATTTAAATTTTGCATATTTTGATAATATTTAAACACTAATAGAAAATAAGATTTGTTACTTTCAATCTTGCTTTGTAAAGATAATGCGACTAAAATACTGTATACTTTATCTTTTTTATGTAAGTATAATGTGGCTACTTACTGCAGGATGTTGTAAATTAATAAGTCGTTCCACAGTAATAAACATTATATAAAAGGCTGCATTTAGTGAGTTAGCAACCCCAAAAACAGAATGAGTGACAGGAATACCTTTTCGTAAAATGGAATTATCTTGAATGTCATCAATTCTATAAAAAATAAAACAAATTATAATATTAAGAATGTATAGAAAATTGCACGTTTGATATATAAATTCAATTTTATCCATGTAATATAAAAAATGTAATATAAAATACACGTAGTATAGAATAATAATATAGAAATAATAATATAGAAATAAATGTAATGTAAAAATTATGTTGTGCTCGTCGATGCCATTTCTTACGAAAGACCAGTCAGAAGCCAGCATGTACTGCACGCGAATACTTCCACCGACTCTTATTTGATTAGCGAACGACACTTCAAGAGTCCTCCGAGGCAATCAGAATATTCTTACATATGTTTAGAATCTTCAGTACAATTTTTAAATCGATTCACTAAAGCGTTCACAAGTTATAAGGATTTTAATTTGCACTGAATTAGCATATGTTCTTATGGGAAACCACGTCGTATTATCACGTCGATTCAAATGATAAAAACATATGGGAATAATATTCAGAATTTGTTTAAAATTTGGAAAAGTGTAGTTTAGATACAAAGGAAATATTTGATCAAATAATATTATGCAAGTAACTGGTTAAAAACATATTAAATATAATTCAATGAAATTAGCCATGTATCTGTGACAAGGCGAAATTCTTTGCCAAAAGTTAATCATTTCGATTAACAAAATTCGGAATATTTCAGTAAAAACGCAATAAATATTAAAAAATACATCTCTGCACTGTAACTGAGATCAAATTGTAATATTCTATGCAATTTCTCATACTCAAAATACACCAAAAGCAGCAAGTCATGAAACGGCTTGTAGCCATTTTTCCATCGACTTAACAATATCAGTAAAAGATATCTATGACAAAAATATATTCAGTTTCAAGAATAGGTACTTTTAGACTTGGTGCTGTGTGAAATATTACAAAAATAATATCTTTTAATGAAAATTATATTAAACAACCATAAGAATTTAATATATATTGGAATAAAAAAACATGAAAGATTATGATGTAGCAAAATGCAAACTTACATAATGAGCGAGTTGTGAAGCATGATTACTATTTCTTCGATTGCTTTTATTCTGTCAGGCGATATTTTTAGCCAGTAATTAAAAGTCTAGATTAATTTTGCCATTATCTGCATTCCAGGAATTTGAAGATTGTATCTGATCGGTTCTAACAGTTTCTACAATAAATCATATAATTTTCTTAATCTTTTATGTCACCAAAATCTCTGTAGTCATCATAAATAAATGAAATATCTAAGAAAAAGAGAAAAATTAGAATGAAAGATAAATTCTTACATCATCTTCTTGTTTGTTGCCGCTCAGAGAATAATAAAACAAGTTGTTATTTGTATTTGTCATGTTTTCCAATTCTCAGCGATATCTTTCTCTCCCAAAACTGTAAGAATTTAAGGAGAAAAATATTTTTATATATGATCCAACGAGAAATGACTCGACAGATTAATTGATTCATTTTTTGATTAATTATCAATATAGAATGATTCGAATTCGGTTCAATATTGAATACTTCTTTCTCAATGCAGCTGTATTATTAGAGGCGAGAAAATATAAATTTTTTTCTTGTATTATACACATTAAAATAAGTTAATTTATCTACATTTCACTACTTATATGTTCAATATTGAATATTCGTAAAATATGTCGGTCTTGTAATCTTTTATTAGTAAATGTAACGGAAAAGGACTGAAAAAATATTTGTAAATATTTAATTGAAATAGATATAATCAAGAGTTAACTTATACGGTAAAATTAAAATTTGACAACTATTACATTTTTTATAAATCTAGTCTTACCAAATACTATGGAACATGAATAGTGAAATTTAGAAATATTAATTTATTTCGACATATAATGCAAAAAAAAGTTTATACTTCTCTTTTTTATTAAAATAAAAGTAAAAATTCAATTAAATATTGAAAGATATAACTATTTATTTTCCTTTGACATTTATAATATGAAAATTGTTTTAATTAACTTAAGACTAGACACATCACAGACGCAATTTTTAAAAATCACAATTAATCTTTATCAGTCAACTTAATCTTGTACGACATTTGTTTTAATTCAATCATATTTCAATTATAAACAAATAAAATTAGCGCAAAATATAAATTTTTTAACATTTTGTAAAAGATTTTTTGTAGGGACACTTAAACTCCGTTATTTATAAAACACCAATAATATAAATGATTTGCGTCGAAGAATTGTACAAGAATGCAATAATGTAAATGATTTGCATCGAAGAATTGTACAAGAATGCAATAATATAAATGATTTGCGTCGAAGAATTGTACAAGAATGCAGAGATATTCCTGTAGAAACTTTGAAAATATTCGTTCAGAATTTGAAAATCATTTATATTATTGTTTATAAAACAATAGAGGCCATTTTGAACATTTATTATAATAAATAACTAATAAATAAATTCTAATAAATAAATTCTCCAAAATTTATCTTTATATAACATAAAACGTAAAACATTTTTGGCATCTAAAGCTTCCAAGGGCGATTTCTCGAAAAATATTCACTTAAAAAAAAAGAAAGAATTGTATAAAAAATCAAAAAAGATTTTTAAAATGATCGTTATACTTGACTCTTATTGCTATTTAAGATTTTTGAAGAGATAGCTACTTTGACGAAGGGGATGACAAAATTTCATTATATTCAATGTATTTAAATGTCCCCTTCGAAAACAAAATTGACGTATTTGGCATTTTTCGCAAAAAATAGTCAATCATGAAATAAATGGGTGATAGGTTTTAAAATGGACACCCTACACACACACACACACACACACACACACACACACACACACACACACACACACTGCACGCACGTACGCACCCACGCACGCACGCACGCACGCACGCACGCACGCACGCACGCACGCACGCACGCACGCACATATATATATATATATATATATATATATATATATATATATCGATATAAAAATAGATGTTTATTCACTACAGCTGCAAAATTATTCTTATGTTCTAAAAATGCTTCCATAAATTCAATTGATCTTCTGTCTTGATAGGTAGAAATGGGAGATTTGTATTTGTGTTTTTGAGGTCTCTCTCTTTTCATTTGGAAGAAGAGACCTGTTGAATCTCCCTTGATTCATAATGATTGTAAAAACAAAAGAGAATAATGGTCCGTAAGATAACAATCAAATTTGATAAAAGAGAAAGGCTAAGGACTGTGGCATAAGTTGTTATTACGTAATTAAAATTAAAAGATATATTTAGGACAGAAAATTTATATATTCTTTAATAATTGATAATAGAAAAAAAGAGCATTATCCATCAAAAAAATAATATAAATACAAAAATATCGACAAACGTATGTTTCGATCCAATGCGGATCTTTTTCAATGTCTTAAAACGGATCGCATAAGTGAACGTGATTAGAACGTGAATATTGCGAAGGTGCGCGCAGTAAAAAATAATCAATAGGTCAAACAAACATATTAAAACGATCGACTATCTAATAAAACGCAAAGACAACAAAAAAATAATAACGGTCAAAAAATAAAAAGCGCTTATACAAAACGATAAAATAAAAATAAATAAAAAATATGTATATGCGCATCGCGATGACATATTCAAGCAAAAAGCGCAACGCTCACCTCGATATCAAAATCGTCCAAATAACACGAGGAATTAAGGAAATACTTTACCTTATTAAAACAAAGAGAAGTCCGAATTATAAAAAGTTGTCCATATTGTTGAGAGTCGTTGTAATAAGAATATGATAGTCCTAATGCGATGAAAACGTGAAAACCACTCAAACATCTAAATCTTCAAGATGCCGAAAAAAATTGATAACGAGGTGGAAGCGTAAAGAGTGCAAAGACAAGAGAAAAAGCCATGTATAAAAAGAAAATAGTATGATCTTGACCAATAATGTAATATCTCGACCTTCGTTGTGATCATACTTTTTTTTTAACGCGCCTTTGCAATGTTTGCGTTTTAATCACGTTATGCAATCCGTTTCAAGACATTGAAAAAGATCCGCATTAGATCGAAACATACGTATGTCGATATTATTTTTTCGACGGATAATATTATTTTTTTTGCTATCAATTATTAAAGAATATATAAATTTTCCATCCTAAATTTATGTTCTAATTTTAATTACGTAATAACAACCTATGCCACGGTCCTTAGCTTTTCTCTTTTATCAAATTTCATAATGATTGTATCTGTCTTTTTATTAATTTCTTCTAGTTGAACATATATATTCTTTTACATAATTTTTCTACTATCTTATCATTTTCATCAAAATATAAAAAAAATAAATATATATGTTCGCGGAGCGACTGCGGATTACCGCGACAGCGGAGAAAATTTGAGAGAGCGTTATAGAATAGGACACGACAATTTTGTTATAGCTACAGAGACTCTACACGACACGTATTTTTTTGTATTTTTTCTGATTTTTTATTTTACCACACAATTAAATAAAATTATATTTACAAAAAATGTACAAAGTTTCAGGAACTGAAATGGCGAAGATGTCGAGGTAAGTCCGCAGATGAATATAGCGGCGTAACTTTGCGACATATATTTTTACTAATAAGAACAGAAGCAGTTTTAAGAGCGGTTTTACTAAGAGCAGTTTTACTAAAAGCGATTTTACTTGCGGAAAATTCTGTGAATTTCTAAGTGCGAACTACGAAGTGCGCACGTGCGGCGTAATTTTGCGACATATATCTTTACTAATAAGAACGAGCAGTTTTAAGAGCGGTTTTACTAAGAGCAGTTTTATTAAAAGCGGTCTTACTTGCGGAAAATTCTGTGATTCTTGCTAAGTGCGAACTACGAAGTGCCCACGTGCGGTGCCTGTTTTATAGCGAGCGTGACAAGCGTTCACTCAAAAAAATGTTTCGTTAATGTAAATAGATTTCTGGATGTCGCAATCAAAATTTATCGCTATTTTTTGTATCTGATAAAATATTGTTTGTTACAGCTAGAATTTATAGCAGTAACATTCTAGCAATATCTGCTAAAAAATTTAGGATTATATATTCATTTGTTTTTGCTACTAGTATTTTTTGTGTACTACAGCCAAACTTTATAACAAGTATGGATTGATCATAACATGGATAGACGCCACAGAAAAACTTTCTTTCTAAATTTCACAAACAGTTCAGATATAAATTCTGTCTCTGTCATTTAGATTGATTACGTGCAACATATATACGATATTACAATATTTGCTAATCGTTTATCTGCCTCAGTTAATTTTTCACATCTAGAAAATTTTTGCTATAGTTGCAAGATCATTTTTTTGAGTATTTCATAAGGCCGCAGCACACACTTTGGCATAAGCGCATAACCATAAGCATAAGGAAATTGATTGGTCCCCAAGTATATGCATAAGAAAATGAATCAATCAATTTTCTTATGCTTATGGTTATGCACTTATGCAAAAGTGTGTGCTGCGACCTTTAGGCGATGAAAAAATGGGAAATAACGAAAACGGTCGAGTTTTTCTGATAGATCGAAAATTCGAGAAGATTCTCGATGCCCGTTAAATTCGAATTCTCGAATTAGCGAATATTATTTGAAAATTTATGCGTATTTTAAACCGGGATAATTTTTATGTTTTTCGAACAATATCTTTTTTTAAAATTATATATTATTCAATTTGTTTATAGAGTTTTATCACCTTTTACCACTTTTTCATATGATTTGTCGAAGAATTTTTGACTGGGGAAGTAAAAAGAATACGTTGATGAAATCTAACTTAAAAAGAAGTAGCTTGTTTGCGTAGGAGTCGTGAAATATTATAAGGAAACTTTCGTGAAATATTATAAGGAAACTTGAAACGTACTGCATAATATCTCTCAGTGGCGTAGCTATAATATTGGGGGCCTCTGGGCAAAAATTGAATGGTACCATTCGCAGAAATTTAAGGCAAGATTGGTTGTTGATTCAGTTATCTAAGTAATCGATATTTACTTATTTATTAATAAATTAATATTTCATTAATTTATTTATCAATTTATTTATTCAAGCATGTTAGTTAATTATTCAATGAGAATATAAAAAACAATTACATGATAATTTACAATTATATGATAATTTTTTCTTAATGGAAAGCTACGACACGATTTATATTATGAAAATGTCTTTCATTTTTACGTCCGAGTCATCGTTGTTGTGTAGCGTTTACATTATAAACAAATATATCTCCAATAAAATGTAAAATCATAAATATTTTACAATTAAATATTAAATCTGTATTTGATTACGATCCGGGCACGCCAAATTTTCATAACTTCCCAGTAAGCAAGAAACATTTGATCAACATTCTAAAATGTTGATTTTATATAAATTTTCTAAATATTATGATATAATGTTTTATAAATATTTTAAAAATATTTTAATAAATGTATTAATAACATTTAAAAAAATATTTTAATTTATGTTTTATAAATATTTTAAAAATATTAAGATAAAAATATTAGGAATGGGTGGCGCAGAGTAATAAATATAAAAACAAATACACAAAAAGGCAAGTAAGGCCACCGGCGTTAGAAGTTGACGCAATAAAAGGAAAATGAATGATAAACACGTGTTAAATTACAATCATGTTAATTTAAAAATATTATTTAATAACATCCTTCTCAAAATATTAATAAAATATTTTAGAAACATTAGTCAAAATGTTTCTTAAATGTTATTAATACGTTTATTAGAATATTTTAAAAATATTTTTAAAATATTCTAATAAACATATTAATAACATTTAAAAAATATTTTAATTTACGTTTTATAAATATTTTAAAAATGTTATTTAATAACATCCCTCTTAAAATATTAATAAAATATTTTAGAAACATTAGTCAAAATGTTTTTTATATGTTATTAATATGTTTATTATAAATAAAAATATAACATCCAATTACAAGTTCGTTCGCGTCGTATTATTTATTTCATACATATCTTTAGACTATTTTTTTTTCATAATATATCTTAATTTTTCTCTCGTGATGGGCATGACGACACCTAATATGTTACTGAGAAGCAACATTCGGTGAGATATGCGTATACACTCTATTGCGTATGCGTGAGAGATTTATTTTTTTGTTCTTTGACTTCGGAATTTTGACTTCGTGCCGGCTGCCAGCGTGCCATGTGCTCTTACACGATCTCGCATAATAAGTAAGTTACAGTGTTTTTGCGAGTTAGTGCTGCACGAAAAAAAAGGAAAGTGTTTCTTCCAGTGTGTTATAATATCTTGTAAGTTATTTTTAAAGATATGTCTAAATATTCGTTCTCAGATTTTTCAGTGAAAGTTCTAAAAGTCTTAAATTAATGTTAGAATTAATATTATTGTGATATTAATATTAAGTTATGTAGATGTTGATACTAATGTTATTTTATTATTGATTTAATTTTATGAGAAACATTCTCTCTCTCTATCCGATTTACACATTAAAATATTAAAATTCAACAAATTAATAAATTGATAAAGAATTCCCAGTAAGCAATTCTTTATCAATTTATTAATTTGTTGAATTTTAATATTTTAATGTGTAAATCGGATAGAGAGAGATAGTATTAATATATTTAAAATCAACACTAAATGAAGATCAGGATTCTTTTAATTTTTAAAACATTTTTTATATAATGTATATAATTAAAAAAAACGTTTTACGCAAGTTTTAAATCGTACAATCTTTAAATCGAAGTAACCCAGTAAGCAAAAAATTATTACCACAACGTTATTATAATGATATTCACTAACATAGTAATGTTGTCAAGTATGGAGTTTTTAACAATGTATGCAACATCATTATGAATAAACTTTGACACCGATTTAGAGGTTTCGGTAATGTTGAAATAACATTTTCTATGTCATTATAGTAATATTGTATTAATGTTGTTTTAACATTCTGATAATGTTTCTTATAAAATTAAATCAATAATAAAATAACATTAGTATCAACATCTACATAACTTAATATTAATATCCCAATAATATTAATTCTAACATTAATTTAAGACTTTTAGAACTTTCACTGAAAAATCTGAGAATGAATATTTAGACATATCTTTAAAAATAACTTACAAGATATTATAACACACTGGAAGAAACATTTTCCTCTTCTTTCGTGCAGCACTATACTCGCAAAAACACTGTAACTTACTTATTATGCGAGATCATGTAAGAGCACGTGGCACCCTGGCAGCCGAAGTCAAAGTTCCGAAGTCAAAGAACAAAATAATAAATCACGCATACGCAATAGAGTGTATACGCATATCTCACCGAATGTTGCTTCTCAGTAACATATTAGGTGTCATGCCCGTCACGAGAAAAAAATTAAGATATATTATGAAAAAAAAAATAGTTTAAAGATATGTATGAAATAAATAATACGACGCGAACGAACTTGTAATTGGATGTTATATTTTTATTTATAATAAAATATTAATAACATATATATAAAAAACATTTTGACTAATGTTTCTAAAATATTTTATTAATATTTTAAGAGGGATGTTATTAAATAACATTTTTAAAATATTTATAAAACATAAATTAAAATATTTTTAAATGTTATTAATATGTTTATTAGAATATTTTAAAAATATTTTTAAAATATTCTAATAAACGTATTAATAATATTTAAGAAACATTTTGACTAATATTTCTAAAATATTTTATTAATATTTTGAGAAGGATGTTATTAAATAATATTTTTAAAATATTTATAAAACATTATATCATAATATTTAGAAAATTTATATAAAATCAACATTTTAGAATGTTGATCAAATGTTTCTTGCTTACTGGGATTAATGATTAATTTGACAAATTCTATACATGTGTTAATAATTAAATTTTTAAATAATTAAAAAAATAATTGATAAATATCAGAAATCAATTTACTGTTAATTAAGAAGATTTATAGAAATACGGTTAAAAATGTTTTTATCCCATAGCAGGCATTTTGTGTTTTGTAAATAAAAAGATATAAATATGGCAATGAATATAGAAAAATATTTATTTCATCTTTAAATATTACAGTATCTTTCGCGATTGAATAATTTATTTACTATCAATTTACATACATAAGTATCTTGTTATACAGCACTGGTGCTACCGGCATTTCGTACACATAACACGGAACAAAACCAGAAATTGTGCACATTATATATTATCCTTTGAGAACATTCATGAACATTGACTTTGTAGTTCATGTCTACGTTTTCAATGTCCATAGAGGGAGTATCGCTTTCAGGGATCATCTAAAAGCAGACCATGACATCTCTCAGTCTTATCTCTGATTCTGACTGGATCATGCTGCTGGACCTTCGTCACACATTTTCCCGCGGATTTCATTACGATCGTGTGGTGCTGCTAAGTGTAGTCGAAGTTAATTTCTATCGTATAAATTGATTATTTTTTTATCAATGTTCCTTCGAAATATATTTATTTCGTTTGTGTAACAACATATTGTCCATACAACCGACTAAATTATTCGTGTTTGCTCTATGTACGTAAATATATACAATTTATTCCAGTTTTTGTTTAGGTTATGATAAAGAGACTGACAGATCTACATCTTTGTCTATAACTTTTTAAGAATATTCTAAGTGTAAATATATCGTGATGTTATGATATTAACAAGATAAATTCACAATTTAATTGCCTTTTACAAGTATGTGTGTTGTGATCATTTCCATATTTCAACATTTCTATTGAACAAGAATTTAGAACAGATTATATATGTATATATTTTTTATCTCAGATTTAAAGAAATAAAAGATGGATATTTCATTGGAGGATGATGATTGTGCAGTAGAAGCAGTTATACCTGCAAAGAAAAAGAAAATGAAACAAGGTTTCTTATACTATATTATAAATTGCAAAGTTTACATGATATGAAGAAATAGAAACCATAAAATATAAAATTTTATTATATATACAAATTTTAGTTTCTGTTTCTTTGTAATGTAATATGTATGCATAGAAAGTTACATATTATATATATATAATGGTAATATTTAGTAAATGTTTAACTAATGATTTATTCTTTCAGCACAACTGCCATTTCAAATATCAAGTTCCTCTAAATCACCAGATAGTACAAACAATATGTCTAACAAGAAGAAGAGAAAAGTAATATCGCCAATGGGATCTAAAAATTCTAAAATAATAAAACTTACAATAAAAGAAAATTCTGTCCCAAATGTTTTTGAAGATGAAAGAGAAAACATAGAAGAGAAAAAACTAAATAGTAGTGATGAGATTGAAATAATAATACCAGATGAAGAGAAAAAAAACTTGGAACAGAGTGATCAAAATGAAAAAAAAGTAGAAAGTGACACCACACCTAAAAAGAATTTAGGAATGAATAAAAAATTGAATAGATCTCAACAAAGACCTGGTGCCTTAACCAAATTTCTTAAAAAGCTAGACAAGGAAACAGAAAATGATTTACATGAATTGAAAGATAAACAAAATTGCCAAGATATCTTTGTACATAAAGATGAAAATGAAATCTGTTTGAATGAAAGTTCAATCACACAAACAAATGTTTCATTGGAAAATTCACCTCAAGAAAACAAACAATTAAAAGATGTCAAGCTTGTTAATGAAAGCACAGATTCTCTCTGTCAGAAATCAGACTGTGATGTTACTATTTTATCTTCGGATGAAGATCTAAGCGAATTAGACAAATCAACATTAAGTGGAAATGAAGTGGAAATAATAACTAGCAAATCAGTAACTCCTGTCACTCCAAAAACCAACAAAGTTGCAAACAAGAAAACTATAAAGCTAACACCAAAACAATTAGAAAAAAGAGAAGAAATTGCTAGAAGAAAAGAAGAAAAATTAAGATTAAAGAAGGTATATATGTATGATATATGATATATGATAAATGAATATGATATAGGAATATATGATATTCTATTTTTTATTTTTTAGGAAAAAGATAAGAAGCGGGAGGAAGAAAAAGAACAGAAAAAAAAAGAAAAAGAATTGAAGGAGCTTAAGAAACAAATGGAAATTGAGTACGCATATTTAATTGTATCTTAAAATTTTACTTTATTACATTTTAATTAAAATTTTATTAAAAGTATCAATTATTTCTAGACAAAAACAAAAAGAAAAGGAAGCAAAAGAAGAAGAACGGAGAAAACGAGAAGAAGCTAAGGAAGAAGAGAAAAGAAGGAAAGAAGAGGAAAAGTTGGAAGCTGAACGCAAAAAGCAAAAGGCAGCTTCAAATTTTGCTAGTTTTTTTGTTTCTAAGAAACAAGAAATTAAATTGGAGGAAGAGAGTGTTATTGAAGTAAAAAATTTTATGCCTTTTGAAATAAAGGCTGATATGAGAATTGCGCCAGTCTGTCGAAGAAAATTGACTGAAGAAGAAAAATCGTTATTAGATAGAAAGTGCAACTTAGACGTACAAAAGTCTGAACTATATCTCGAAGATATTAAAAAAGGAAGGATTATACCTTGTACTTCCTCTAAAACGTGGCCACTCGAAGCGAAGGATGAAGATATCATTATATTAGGTAAAAATTATATTTGTACATAAGTTTTTTATATGCTAATGTTTTAAATGTAATTAATTATTTATGCAGACGAAGACAATGATGGCAGCTCCAACATAATAAACAACACGCATAAATTGGAAAAGCATCGAGCGAAATTGTTGCAGTTCAGCGAAAATCGCCGTCCTCCATATTGGGGTACATGGCGAAAACGAAGTAGTGTTCTAAATTCTCGGCGACCGTTTGCAAAAGAGAAGGTAAGAATTAATTAGTACATGTTCCCTTATAAATGAATTAGTTAAGTATTGAGCTGACTTATATTTTAAAACAATTATTGAATGATTTACTTAGTAAAGCAACTAATACAAATAGCTGATTTTAATAATCACAATTGCATAGATTTGTGTTACTTTTAACAAATGGTATTTTGAAGAATATAGGATTTATATCAAAAATAAGGCACACAAATGTATTTTCATAGAATTTATTATTACTTTATGTATCGTCGATAAAAAACTTTCACAATAACTTTAACTGCCATTAATAGGACTGATTGGATTAAGTTGAACTGATCTCTCTTTGAATTTAATAACTTTTTTAGTTTATCTCTTGTTTTCGTCAAAATGATTTTAAACAGATTAAATATCTTTTATTTTTTTGAAATTGTAAAAAATATATCGAAAATCCAAGCAATATTAGCCATCGAAAAAGGCCAAAAATTATTAGTTTACATTATTTATTTGGCAAATTATTTCTACATTAGCTATTTTTAAAGAAACATTTTAAGTACTTGTCAATTTATATAGAAACTATAGCGTAGAACTTTACTTCGTCGATGACGATAAGCTTTGGCTGACTTTCTCAATTAGGAAAAAATCTAGAAAACGCAAACAATTTTAGATTAATCTGTCGATAAAACGTTCGTCTTGGCGCCGCGTAATCCCCTAGCACCATGGAACAAGGGATAGGCGTTTTTCCGATGCACTTTACGATGTTTGGCTAGATGATCGCTGCGTGCGAATCTCTTCGAGCACATTTCGCAAGGATACGGTTTAACGCCCGAGTGCGATCGTCGATGCCTCGCTAGCTCGTCCGATCGACTAAAACGCCATCCGCAACCAGTCCAGGTGCATGCAAACGGTTTCTCGCCAGTATGTCGTCGTAAATGAGCTTTCAAGTGAGAAGCTTTGGCATAGACCTGAAAAAATGTGTTAAAATGTTACAAATATATTATAAATATTATTATAAATTATTATTATATACAGGGTGTCCCATTTTAATGCCCCACCCCAAATAACTTTCTTATTTTTAATTTTAGAAAAAGATGTTTCAGACAAAAGTTGTATGGTTTCGAGGGGGACATAAGATGGTACCATTAATTTGATCTTGAAGAGTCACATGAAGGTTACGTGAAGATCATTTTCAATTTCTTAAATGGAACACCCTATATATTTTTGCATATTCTTGTAGCTTATCTCAAGAGCTTTCCAAAACACTATAAATAAACATTTTTTCATCAAGTACTTTTCGAATTATGAGGCTTGAAGTAATTTCCTAATTTTACATAAACCATAAAATATCTTGTAAAATATTCATTTTTCGATTATCTTACCTTAATATTTTTATGTACAAAATAATGAGAGGAATCAATTGGTGTAAAGAAAACATACAGTTGTTTTTAAGAAAAAATATGGAATTGTTAATTGCAAATTACATATTTTTTTCTTAAAAACAACTGTATGTTTTCTTTGCACCAATGGATTTCTCTCATTATTTTGTACATAAAAGTATTAAGGTAAGATAATCAAAAAATGAATATTTTACAAGATATTTTATGGTTTATGTAAAATTAAGAAATGATTTCAAGCCTCATTACTCGAAACGTACTTGATGAAAAAATGTTTATTTATAGTGTTTTGGAAAGCTCTCGAGATAAGCTACAAGAATATGCAAAAATATATAGGGTGTTCCATTTAAGAAATTGAAAATGATCTTCACGTAACCTTCATGTGACTCTTCAAGATCAAATTAATGGTACCATCTTATGTCCCCCTCGAAACCATACAACTTTTGTCTGAAACATCTTTTTCTAAAATTAAAAATAAGAAAGTTATTTGGGGTGGGGCATTAAAATGGGACACCCTGTATATAGGATACTCGCGCTCAAAATACTCGAGGTAATAGGGATGCATTTTTTTCATTGGAAATTAATCCTTTCTTAAGTGAAAATCATTTAAAAATTTAACTAAACCATAACTGTTGTAACCATAACTAAATCTTTTTAGACAAAAACTAATTATAAATTCTAAAAAATTTCAATTAATTCATACAGTTGAACTCTTTTTCTAAAAAGAAATACATTTTGATTACAATATATGTTAAATATTATTATATCTAAAAAATTATCTGACTATTAGGATATAATTAATTATAATTAATACTCGCGTCTATATAAAATACTCGAAGTAATAAAAATTCTTTCTTAATTGAAAGTCTTTTCTTAAATAACAATTATAATTGTGAACTATAAGGAGTTTCAATTAAGCCATAATTGCTTTTAATTAAAATTATAATTATTAATAATATTATTTAACTTAAATTATAATTTTCTAAAAAATACGGGAGTTTCACACGAGAGTTAATCTTTTATAGATAAATAATTATGAATCATAATTATGAAAAAAATTTTAATTAAACCAATTGAGCTCTTTCTAAAAAATATTTCGACTAGTATTTTAAATGTTATTATATAAGATATTCGCGCTCAAAATACTCGAGATAGTAAGGATGCATTTTTAAATGAAGAGTTACTCTTTTCTTAAAATAAAAACCATAATTGTAGACTATAAAGAGTTTTAATTAAATTGCACAATTGCTTTTAACTAAATCATAATTTTCTAAAAAAAATACTAATATTTTAAGAATTAATCTCTTTTTAGATAAAAAGAGATTAATTCTTAAATATTATGAATCATAAAAAATTTTAATTGAACTTGGATTATAATCTTTTTCTTAAAAATATCCCGACTATCATGTTGGAATTGATTTGGTGTAAGAGTCAATAAAAAATCAGTGTCATATCAAAAAGACTTACCTTTACACAGCCTTGATAAGTACATGGAAAGCATCGATCTTCAGCTGCATTTGCTAAGCTACGATTAGTATAATCGTGCGTTGCTAATGCGGCAGTAGCTGCTGATGGAATTAAAGGATCGTCGTCTAACTGATTATTATTATAATCTGCAATTGCAGGATATTAATCGATCTTTACAAACGATTATTGAAACAATGATATATTTTAAATATATGCAATATTGATCGTTAATGTCAATTACTAATTAATTATTTTTAAGAAACATGCGCGCGATATTATTCAAAAATATAATGTGGATTGCTTTCTTTTATACATTAGACAATAATATTAAAAAAATTTTCCATATTTTTAGTGACATCAATAATTTAGAATCTTTCGAAATGATTGCAATGAGGGATAATATTGTTCTAGTAATAGCGTACCTATTGTATTTGTTCCAAATTCATTCTCTAATGCTCGTAAATCGATTCCGAGCACTAGCAATGGTTCTTCGTATTGTGGTATCTGTTGCGAATTTGGTAAAGGCGGTAAATGCAGAAATCCTTCGCACCCTGCAGTACACAATGGTGTTCTTTCTGGGAGACCAAAATCCCAGCTCCTCTCTAGACACCAATCTAATTCTGAGTCCAATTCGCTCAATTCGTTTAAACAACCTACAATTATTTGATATGTATATTTTAAGAAAAATTCTATAATTTATAATTATAAAATGCAACACTCTCTCTTTTTCTATTGCTATTTAAAATTTAAAATGTTTTTAAAGGATATATTTAGGGATTATATTTTTTAAAGGATATATTAAAAGATTATATTTTTTTAAATATATCCTTTCATAAAATAATATATTGCCTATCATTATATATGTATAAATTAATAATAATAAATATAATAATAATGATAGACAATATTTCATGAAAGGATATATTTAAAAAAATATAATCTGCAATTGCAAGCATATATATATATATATATATATATATATATATATATGCTGTTATATATTTATATATAAATGAAAGAGGAGAAAATGCATACCTGATGATGTAGGTGTATTGATAGTCGACCAGTCATTCCAAGATGATTGCAAAGAGCAAGTTAAGTCAGTATAACAATCTACTGGATTTGTTGCGTTCAACTGATCACTATTGTGTATCTCAAAATCATTGTCAAACAGAGTACACGATATTTCGTAATCGCTAGGTAGATTTATCTTCACCGGTGAGAATAACTGTTTTTCGACGGTATTCATCGTCAATCCCAGAGAGGGGAATAGTAGTTCATCCGTCATCTGAAACAAATATCAACAGATGTTTTTTTTCCTTTTCTCTTAATGCGCACTTTAAGATTCTGCATTTGTATCCTCACATCTTCGTTAATGAGATAATTTCGTAAGTAATGTAGGTAAACTATAACTCTATTATTATGCGTATGATTTTTCATTCTTAAACGTGCAAGAATTATGTAAGCTTCAATTTTTGTATGATGCGATATAATGCAAAAATAGATACATGTGATGAAGTATTGATAATATATTATTATCGAATACAAAGTACATATTGCGTAGATATTAAATATTGCATTGCAATATATATTATGTTTAATATACTCACATCGAACGTCGTAGCTTCTTCAATCATATTAAAAAATTTATCGAATATAAAATTCAAAATCGATTTATGTGCTTCTTAATTGGCGACAATAAATTTTCGAAATAAGAGTTTCTCATCCGAAGTTTACATGATTGCTCTAAAGATCGGACTCAGACTCAGTGTTTTCCGATCATGATACAATTATCTATATTAATCACTACATGACGATTTGTATAAAACTAAGCAAACTTCAGTTATTCTTTGCGTTATATTTGAACGTCAAGCTAAAATTCGTTCATATTAGTTAATCATAATGTTATGTGATTTTTAGTTTTCTCGATGGAAGAAAAAAAGAAGTGTTCATAATAATATCCTGAGTGTTACATCAAAATTTGATAACATATTTCTCATTTATATTTCTCTTTTTATTATAGATGAGATTGAAAAAGAAAGAGAGAGAGGTTTCGCGATCTAAAAATTTAAATTAATGATAAAATAATCCGATTTTGTTATGACGAGACACTCTCGAAACCTCGCGTAACGATGGGGAAAGGAAAACGCACGATGAGAAACGTCGATCCGCGTGTCACGATCAGTCGGGGGTCGTGCCGAGACTGCAACTGGTGGTCGAACCCTCGAAATGAGAAGACATCGAGCGTGTGATGAGAGAGAGAGAGAAAGATTATGATTCCCTCGAGATAAGGATGCTAGCTGGTGCCACCCGGTGCCGTCACCACGTCGATCCCCAGGGAATCGCGATCGCACGCGTGCGATCCAGAACACCGAGAGAGGAGCGCCGTCACTGCCATCCTCAACGGCGACTCGTCGTCGGTTTATCTTTCCCCGGTTCGCATAATCGGTAGAGATGGGATTAAGTATTTCGCGATGATCGCAAAATTCTCAAATAATTGCCACTGCTAAAGTTTCGCCCAGACTTGACGATACGAAATATCATTCATCATTTTTGAGGATTTTCTGTCGAAACTGAGATAGGTAAGGTCGAAGGACAAAAATAACAAAATTTTAAACAGGAAAAATTTATCTAGTCCAAAAGGTTTTCTAAAAGGCAACTTAGAAGGTCTTATCTCATGACCTGAGTAGAAATTCGAGTAGTTTTGAGAACTCTTTTAGGCCTACTAGACATAGTGAGTGTAATCACTGCTGTTGTTATTTTACCAAAATCATAATACTTCTCATTTGAACATTATTTCGGTTTGATTTCTTCTATTGATTTCTGGATATTGAAATATATTAACTTGAAACTCTTCATCTATTCATTCCAAAAATATTATTTTTTATAAAGTAACTTTTAATAAAGTAACTTTTTGCGTGCGAATGATATGAAACGAAATAAAATAGTACCGAAACTAATTCGGATTCGTGATCGACACATATTGAACTTGATCCCATCCCTACTGATGGAGCAATTAACCCGCTTATTTACGGTCTCCCGGGATGCGAATTAATCGCGACGCCAGTTATCGCCGATTTTGTCGAACGAATCGTCACTCGAGTTGTCGAAAGAAAGAGAGAGACCATCCTCTCTTCGTCTTCGGGGATGTCTCGAGGATGTCGTCGCGCTGTCGTGCATGTGGCCCCAGATATATTGTCAATTTCGATTCGTGATGTAATCCGAGAAGCGGCCTGCTAGATCCACTTTGGTCGATTGTATATCTCGGAAGGATATCTCGAAATATTGTCATTCTAGATACGTTGAGGAAACTTTTAATTTTAGATGATAAGTAATTATTATAAAAATTCGCATAAATTTTAGAAGTACACATTCTATGTGCATTTTTAAGTATCCATTTTTACACTTTCCCGGAAACTTCTGGAGATTTGAATATCACAAACATTTCAAAGAGATCTCTATTTGCCAGTGTTTATTATTACAACATTACAGAAAATATAATTTTAAAAATTTTAGAATTTTTCAAATCTCTCTCTAATAGCATAAACATCCGGTAGAACATTTTTCTTATAAATTGAAACAAATCTCTTATTGTCCTGTCTGTTTGTTTTTTTATGTGAAAATTTCATTGGATTCAAGAATCATTGAAGACTTTATAATGTAATGACAATGAAAATCTTATAATGTAATGACAATGAAATTTATAGTACAGTCGTTTTTACAGTTGTTTTCCGATTGCAAAATATCAATCCGCGAGCCACTGACCCGAAACAGATTGGAATTTTTTTTCGAATTACATAGTCGAGAAGAAGAAAAAGCACATAACACATTTCGGGCGATTAATGTGTCGACGATTTTGTATGCAATGTGTTGTTTTGATGGCTTTGACCTAGAGTACGACCCGATAAAGGTGTCTCATCCGAGCCGTTGCCATTAGGAGTTTGATTGCTCGTTTATCGGTGTGAAGTTGACCTTAGATATAACGTAGCATACATGTATATACATATATATATTGTCATTTATTTAAAGATTCAAGATTTTATTCATGATTGATCAAAAATTAATAGGTGAGATTAAAATATTAATATCGAGGATATAAAATTCTTCGAAAAATTCGATAGTTTTCATTTATTTCCTCGATTTATTCTTTGATTCGATCTAAGACGTGACTTCATCGAAGTCGTTGATCATTCGATGAGAAACGGTGAAAAATATACAGAGTGTCCTATTTTAATTGGACAAATATTCCAAACAAATATCTTATAAGTGATATATTATCGTGGAAAATGTTTCAACAAAATTTATTTAGCTCGAAGAAGGTAAAAGATAAAGATATTAGTTTAATCTTGGATGTACGTTCTAAGATTATGTAAAGATCAATCTAGTTTTTAAATAAAGTTCTAATTTTTATTCATATAAATCGATTCCTTCAAATATTCGGTATAAATATTATAAGAGTAGGACTAGAAATGAAATAATTTACGAGATATTTCATACTTTAATTTGACATAATTTTACACAGACTATTTTACATGAAATATCTTATAAAATATTCATTTTTTATCTTACGTCAATACTTTTATGCACAAAATAATGAGAGACATCAGTTAGTGTAAAGGAAATACACAATTGTTTTTAAGAAAAAGTATGAATTTGCAATGAGTAGTTGCATATATTTTCTTAAAAACAACTATATGTTTTCTTTACACTAACTAAATTTTTTCATTATTATTTATAAAAGTTTATTTAGAAATTTGTTATAGTTTATGTCAAATTAGAAAATAAAAAATATTTCGTAAACAATTCAATTTTTCGTCAGCCTATAAATCTTATGACTTTTTACTGAATATTGCGAAGAATCAATTTATATAAACAAAGTAAGTTGGTTACATTTAAAAAACTAGATTAATTATATCTTAAAAAACTAAAACATGACTTTAGCATCTGCACTCAAAGTTAAATTCTAATCTCTTTTTTCTCTTTTCCAGTTAAACAAATTTTATCTAAAACATTTTCCACAATAATGTGTTATTTATAAGATATTTGCGTGAGCTAATTAAAGTGAGACATTCTGTATATATAATGGATCTTTATGCAGATAATTTGAAATGCTTTTTCAGATTTTAGTGGCAAATCTGACAAATAGGAATTTAAGAGAGATGGTGGAAAATAATCCAATTTACATCCATTATTACAAATTGCTATGGTGGGGTTACAATCATTTATGCTCCTTTTTCGAGGATATAAAGGCCATAGTTGATGAAAGTAGATGGAGCATACTTGAAATATTAAATAGTGCAAACATTTTAAGAATTAAACATCCTCGCATCGATGTATCTTTTATGTCAATTTCAAGATTATATCGAATAATGTTAATGATATTTTTTTACGAAATTTGACATTGGATTTATATATAATTGTTTTATAATTAAATTATGTGGGAAGAAGTAGAAAAATATTTATCGTTGTACGGATGATAAAAATATTAAATATTACGTGAGAGAAAGAGTATGTGTTTGTATAGAGAACATCTCAAAAATTATAAATTATAATGAAAAAATGAAGACGTCAACATTTTATACAAACTTGATAGTTAAATGATAGGCTGTGTCGCTTTTATTTTCATAAGAATTCGGAGCCTATTCAGCTCTAAATTGAGAGAAGCGGCGCTAAAAGGTATAGTTATCGTGGTGTACGATGTGTAATGAAAAACAGACCACGGCTTAGCGGTGACATCGTGATCAATCGGTGGCTCGTTTATCTGGCGGATTTATTTTATTATCTGGCGGATGCGCGAGCGATCCGATATATCATCGCGAGTGCTCTGATGCACTTGCGTGTTTTGAGAAAAAAAGGAGCAAAAAATTATTCTATTTTCTGGAAAGAAATTTTTATACATATCTATTTTAAAGTAACGTTATTATATGTTACGTGTAATTTTAAAATAGTTCGTAACAATAAAAGCGGATCAAATTATACGTAAGCCAAAGAAATGTCTACAGAATTTTCTTAAAAATTTCTTAATCATTTTGATTGATTATTAAAAACAGATATAATAAAAAATATGTAATATAATAATTAAATAATACAGTTTTTTTATACACATGACATCGAGTGTGTAAAGTATGTTATGTAAGAGTATATCTAATAAATATTTATAACAGTATATAATATACATTGAAATAGATAAAAAAAAAATACTTACTAAAAATATTATAATACTTAATCAAAATATTTATAACAGTATAATATACATTGAAATAGATAAAAAAATACTTAATTAAAAGTATTAAAGTGAAGGAAAAGATATTTTGGAGAGATGGAGATATCCGCAGTTATATACATATTGACATCTAATCCGCTGGCACGCGCGACTATCGGATTGATTTCGGATTTTATTGTGTCGAAAGAGCGATATCTCTCATTGACGTTTTCTCTCTCATTATATGCTACGTAATATTTCGCGAATACCGCGCTTTCATAACTCATATGCGTAGCTTTAACTCTTTCAATATGCGTCATATATCGGATATCAATTTTCATCGATTGCTAGCTGTATCGCGTTTACAAATTCTTGTCAGGCAGTTCTATTTATAATTCTCGCCGAAGGTTGGATGAAACTCGAAATAGCTATACTCTTTTGGTTGTCTATATTTACTTTGTTTAATATAATTTTTTTTTATTTTTTCAAATTTAATTATAAATTTGTTTTTAAGATCTTTTATTATTTTAGATATATATACACATACCTGTAGAGAGAGAGACAGAGAGAGATTTTATTTTTACGTATAAACATTATATATAATCTCTCTGAAAGGATTATATATTTATATTAAACTCCAAAAAAATAAATGCATACATTTTAAAATGACACAGTATTCTAACGTATATTTTAATTAAAGCATCAGTCGTAAATGACGATAGTCCGTTTCGTGCGAAATTTATGTGTTCGGAGATAACACACGTGTTTTATCTCATATACATTTTAAATTCTACGTCACTACGTAAAACACTGTTACGCGCGAATCATATCATGTGAAAAATTAAAAATTTAACTTGTTCGTATTAAGATAGCGGATTCTCATTTTTAATAAAAAATCTATTATTGTGCACCAGTTGGAGTTGAGATACTTTCCAACGATTGATTAAAATAGTTTCAAAAATAAATTTATGATATTCTCATATTTTTAAAGGATATGTAAATAAATATATTGATTAATTCTCAAATAATCAATACTATCTCTCTTTATATTTTTTTATCGTGCTTACATCGAGCCGCAATTTTACAAGCGTTTACTTTTGAATGCATATTTGAATATCGCAGCGGAATTGTAGGAGTTAATCACATTTTACAGTGATGACAGTTCACGAGAAGCAGCGGTCTTTGATGAGAGCGGGCTAACTCGGTAACGAAGCGCAGATCTAGCCGAATATCCGAGAAATAAATCAGTTCGATTGCCGGGCCTCCTAATCTACGGTGTACACCGATGAGAAGCACCGGTCGTAATCTTAATGGAGCATAAAACAGCCATTACAGATGGCCCGCCGGGTGACAACACGCTGTAAATAATCTACGACGCTTCAGCATCGCGCCCCCAGGCTGATAACTGCGCTTTTCTTCTTGAGCGTGTTGCATCCCTTCGATTTTATGTGTGCATGCGTGTGTGCGTGCCTTGGATACAAGAGATCTGTGTTTCGGTTTTTTCACTTTTGATCAGGTTCTGTTTCTATTTCTGTTTCTACTTTTTCACTTTTAATCAGGTTTCTACTTCTAATCAAGATAGTTGCTAAATTAATGCACTAAATTAATTCCCATAATTAAAAATAGTGCTAGTTGTAAAAATTATCTTGAAATGACGACAATTTTCGATCGATATTTTCCTCATAAAATTAGAAAATATCGATTATAAATTTAAAAACCATTGCAAAATAATAACATCTATTCTCACACAATTATTCTGATTAAAAATTCTTCACATACTTTATAATTTGTTTGCCTAACTTTGCTGAAGGCAGATCTTTACATAGAATTAAAATTTAATGTGATGTCATTCTTTTCACAGTTTTTAATTTTTAACGTTAGATATTTCCCAATAATTTCCTCGAATTTAAAATTTTCCTAAATTGGAATCAATTTTTTTTTTTTAGTTACTTGTAATTTGAAAAATTATTGATACCTTGAGATATTTTTACATAAAAAAAATACATCAACAATTTATAGTTGAAAGAAAGTACAGTTGAGATTTGGGACGTCTTGTATTCTTTGATAATAAATTACATGTTTCACGAGACGTCATACGTACCTTCGTATTGCTGCCAAAAGCTGCTTGAACGCACACTCTTCCTCCTTTTTTTTCTTTATTAGCGAAGAGTCGGCGATTGTTTTTGTGTTATTCGTGTTAGCGACGAGTGTATCAATCGCCCGCGAGATCACGTTTCTCCCGATAATAAATTAATGTCTCAAGAAGAATCTTGTAATTGATGCTCGCGTAGGGATGAAATCGACGTTGATTTATCGAACAAAGAATATCTCGCGCCGCGGCGCAAAGAGAAAAGGGGGAAAGAGAATTTATCGACTTTTCGGCGAAGAGGGAGAGGGCACACTTCCGCGATGCGTTTTATTAGTGTTGTCGAATTAATTGATTTCAATTATATGCCAAGGATTTATCGCGTTTCGTTGAAGCGTGGACCACGACTACTGTCATGCGAAAATAGTAATGCATGCGCGATAAGTATAAGTCGATACGTTCGATTCATCCCGTTTCAACTCCAAATGTCAAATCGCAAATATGTAAAAATAAAAAATATCGCAAAAATAGCTACTCGACAATGATAAGCTACTCGAGAATGTCACCATAAATGCAAAGAATAATAGCTACTTGGAACAAGCTACCAAGTTACGCATGAATAACAAAAACACGTCGAATATATGGGACTTTTGTTTAGAGAGTAAAGATATACATATCTTGAAATTATTTTGGACTTTTTAACACATGACACTTTACACTTTTTGACAATTCTTATTTTGAAAAAAAGAGCTTTATCCTTATCAGAATTTGTATTGACCTTTATCTTTATCTGATTCTTTGTATCCGATCGGTAGCTGCTGCTAAAAATAATTGAACGCGTTTATTGACACTTCATCAGTAGCATCACAGAAAGGAAAAAAAGATTCGGGAGACTTGAATACTACATTTTGATAGTGACCTACTACAGTTACTTCGTGACTAATTGTAAGAGAATCAGAAATGCAAAGTCCGGTATGTCGGAGATGCTGGTGGAAAGCCGAGATAACGCAAAAGGAAGTAGCTTATCGACGTCCTGCTTATTTGAGATTCTACGTGTTTAAAACTAAAATAAATCAGTCGTCGACAATATATAAAAAAACTACGATAGAAATGAAATCACTATTGACTCTGTCTGAATTAAAGCAAAAAAAAACGAAAACTCTTCTAAAATTATTTTCGAAAAGCGTTCATTTTAAAACATCTGATTTATAAATCTTTTGATTACCATTTGGTCGATTTACTATTTTTATATTATTATGTGGTATATATAAAATGGAAATGATTCTATATGAAAAAATAAATCGAAAAGTAGAGTAAAATATTTTTTATATGAAGTTTTATACTTGCAAGAATTAAAGATAATTTAAAATAGATTTGCCTAAATATTTGAAAAATAAACGGAAAAGATAATTCGTATATTTTATTAATGAATATACATTTTATTTTTTAGAATCTGTTTGATTATGAAATTGATTCCGACGATGAATGGGAAGAAGAAGAACCTGGCGAGTCTCTGAAAGGATCTGACGATGAGAAGGATGAAGAAAATCCGGAAGAAAACGAATACGATGTCGACAATGAGTTTATGGTGCCTCACGGGTAAGCCATACAAAATGATTTAAGTACAGAGATTATTAATTAAACATTAAATAAGATAGATTTTTAAAATGTTACTAATATTTCTTTTTCCTATGTCATAAATAATTTTAAATATATATAATTGAAATAATTTAAAAATAAAATAACAATCCTCAAATGTTTATTTATTGTCTATAAAGATATCATCTATAAAGAAATTATCTTAAAAAATTATCAAAAATGGATGTTGTAATTTTATAAAAAACATTTTTAAGAAATTAATCTATTAGAAAATTTGAATCATAGAAAGGATAATTTTATTATTTTTGAGAGCAAGTATTACTACTTTGCATTATTTTTACGAATATCTTTGCACATATTTATAAAAATTAAAAATATATTATTTTGTAATTTAGATACTTGTCCGATGGTGAAGCTCAGGCTGACGAGGAAGAAATGGAAGATATGGTAAATATATTATAATGAGATAAAACACTATTTTTTCATATATAAAAATTTTACTTTAAAATAGATATTACAGCGTAAAATGTTTGCTTTTGTTTGCAGTCGCCACAAACACAGAAGATGAAATTAAAGATATTAGGGGAACAATTCGAAGCCGAAAGAAATATAAAGACACACAAACTTAAACCGAAAATAATTGGATGCATCTGGCAAGGATCCGACAATTCTTTCCCGGAATTTGGTAAGAATATTATATATATATATATATATATATATATATATATATTTTTTTTTTTTTTTTCTTTTCTTATTTATTTTATTTAAATATATCATTTATAATCTTTATATATTTATTATCATAATTATTTTAAAATTTAAATTTGTTTTAGTCTCAGTGAAAATAAAAGAGTTTTTATTGGCACGACAAGCTTGGATCAACAATATACCGATAGTATTTCCATCATCGACATCTGAGGAAGACATCTCGGCTGGAACGGAATGCAAAACACCGACTCAACAATCTGTGAGAGGTCCAAAGAAAACAAAGTTTCCCGATGAAGCTTTGCCCGATTTAATCCGATTGTTGCACGGAAATACAAACGGCAGGCGTTTTCTCATGAAAGAATTTATGACATTCTGGAGCAAAAATGGCGGAAGTCAGCTTTCGAAAGTTAGCGTGTTATCAAAGATCAATGAAATTGCTAATAGGATTGCGTGTCCTGAAGAAGGACCGATGCATCTTAAATCTTGTTGGTATGTTTCCGAAGACATCCGGAAGCAGTATCTTCCTGATAACAAGTTGTCATTGCCGAATAGTTGGACATATATCTTAACGCCGAATCGAAAAGGCGATACGCAAGACGTTACAATCGACAAGACTGAAAAAGAGGAGAAAGAAAAGAAACATATACCACTCATTACTCAATTTACTAAGAAAATCACGCAAGAGGAAATGAAAAAACAATTGACAAAACCTGAGCAGGAAGAAATGAAAAAACAATTGTTAGTGAAACCCGACCAAATTCCAGTCTTGTCAAAATTACCTCCACTACAAAGACCACCTAAACGAGCGATTCTACTCTCTGTCGGTAGAGGAGAACAATTTCCGGAAAAATCTCGGGAGAATATGTTAGCTAAATTTATCGGTCTCAATAAAAGAAAAGAGGAGAAAGCATCGAGTAGCGAAAAAATGATTATCGACTCAGATGATGTCTTATTCGCGAAAAATATTGACACGCGCGAACAAGATGAATCGAAAGAGTGATAAAAGCGGATCTAAAAGATTTGAAGCGCATTGATGATTATCATCGATTATTGCGTAGAAAATAGATAATCGATTTGGAAAATAAAATGTAAATAACAAGGATGACAAATAATTATATAATTAGTCACAAACAAAAAATTTTGCTAATGTGAGTGATAACTTTTTCGATTAAAAGTAATGTGAAAAAAATAAAAAAGAGAACGCATCTATAGACATCTAGGCTTCTACAGACACATTTCATTTATTATTCTATTTGAAAAAAAAAAATTTATTTACTCGATCATCAATATATTAATAATATACTCAATTTATGAACTAATACTTCACATGTACAAAGCTTTAAAGAATTATTTTTTAACACAACATTATATGACTGGAGTATCACGTGATTGGAAACAGTATATGTTTTCGATATAAACTTACATATTACTTTAGAATAATTATGATGTTTTACAGATATATAAAGTTTTATTCATCTGACTATCTAGTTACTTAAATATTTTTTGACAAAATTTAGTTTTCTTCAAGAACAGTCATCAATTATGGAAAAAATCGTTCATAAAAAAGTTGTCATATTATATTTATAAGCTTTAACTGATGTTAAGAGAGAGATTTAATTTTACTACTTGTTTCTATTTAAGTTTCATGTGGTATAGCTCGTCTCCTTCTTAGAAATAATAGATTATATTAATTCGCGCGAAACTGCCAGATAATCATGTGGGTGCAACAATTTGCCCATATAAAACTTCCGTGCCTTCACTCTATGTGATATAAGATTTTTTATAATTAGATCTATTATGTTACAAAAAAAGATTGTAGTAGGAAAATATAAAAAATAGTTTTAAAAAATAAACTTATATCATTTTCTTTCTAATTTGAAATGCAACTGATTAATATATAATCTATTTTAAAGCGAATTCTGTTTATTTAAAACTTAATAATCTTTACATTCTTCTAAAATAATGCGACTGGAACATTGAAGCATGTACTTTAATTATCTAATTAAGATTAGTATTATATACTATGCAAATATTTACTGTGTACAACATATATCTGTCACTATCATACTTATAAAGTCTATCGCATTTTTGTGGCACCACACATTAACATTATTTGAATACATGACACTATAAATCTTGCCGCATAAATATTGAAATATGCAAAATTTCATCTAAGAGATAAATCGATTAAAATTATCGCAGAAATATAGATGCGCATAATAACATTCGATATTTATTATCTCTATTTCATATTTTATACTTTATATATTATCATATTTTATACTTTATATATCTATTTCATATTTTATACTTTATATATGCAATATTAAAAAAAGAAATAGATCTTTATGTTGAATTTGTTGCAGTCGAGAAAATCTTTCTCTTAATAAATTTTTCACATTATCAATCAAATCCAGATTAAGCATAAGCAGTCACAAATGAATATCAACGAACGAGCTAAACAAAGATATTATTAATTAAAAATACTTGTTATAAGGTTATTAAATAACTCTTTCTTACTGATATTTATTCTAAAATCGTAGAACTATAAATAATAATTGATAACTGAATTACTGAATAATTGATAAACCTCGCTTGATTGTACCTTACTAAAAGTTTATTAAGTTATTAGTTTATTATTGAATTTTTCATCCAATGTTATTCAGTTAAAAATTATAATGCAATCAATGATACGTGATCATAAAAATTTTCTGATTGATAATAGGATAAGATTCACTTTAATATTCTCGATCTATAACAAGATGATATTAGAATTATATATCCTTGTAAGTTGGAAACGTAGAAGTGATACATAAGCATTTATTCTTTGACGCATATCATACACAATTCTATTTTTTATCAAATCTATTGCGCGCGTGAGTTATAATATTCGCTGTAAATAAAATATATTATATTTTATATCTCAAAGGAAAGATTGTTTCCTTTTTTCAGGGACGCAAAACTGAAGTTCATCAGGTAAACTAGCGAAATTTCTGCGATCCAAAAGTTCGTTTTGCAAAAGAAAAAAGAGATTATTGTCGTAAAAACCGATCAGAAGATTTTCGAAGAAAAATCTGCGATCGTGTTTAATGCTTTATTGGAGTATCTTTTTTTTTCTCGCGAGATGAACTTCCATCGCGGAATCGGACAGGCGCCTCTCGATCGCGGACAGATTCGTTTCGGAAGCATCTCGAGGGCAGGTTTGCGATTCCGCTCGCGGCAAAAACTCGGAGAAGAAGAAAAAGTAATTTCGCCGTTCGGGAAAGCAAGTTTTACAGTCGGTAGTTCGGATCCTCGTACCTCCCGGGTGTACCGGTCCGCGGCATATGGCCGGAATAACGAAAGGGCGCTTCGCCGAGATTGCGGCAATTATCGAGTCACGTTACGAGATTCGTGCCGTTAAGACCCGCAGAAAATCTCCGAGGGAGCCCGCGAGAACCAGAGACCGAGGACTGCGTATAACGCTCGAGAAAGAGACCGAGTTTTATATGCGAATTACGCTAATTTGCCTGATTGCTTTGCGACAGGTGATTGCTTGGGCTCCTTGCGATGCAGGTATTGTGATTTGCCTAAAAAATGCGTCATCATCAAAGAGATCGTATATAAAGACTATCAAGACAATTAAGATTCGATTAGAGACACAAACGTGATCCAATAAAAACACCAATCTAATACGTATATAAAAGATGGATATAAGAGAAAAAGTGCAAAAATGTGAGCGGTGGGATGGTAGGCAACAAATTCCTACAGGAAAAAAAACAAGTCTTGTTTCTTGAAATTGAAATATGACATATATTAATGATATTATTCAAGGAAAGACTATTGCAAAAGCGTTTGATATGTATATGATAGTATATATTTATTTATTGTATATATGGCAAATTCCGTTCACTATACGCAAGTCCCGACGTATGAGAGTGCACGTATAATCTCATCAGGTTAATTAAAATTACAACTACTTCCATTCTCCACGATGTATAGGGTGAATCTGATAAAAAGTTCATCATATTTTTCTCAAAAATAGAGGTACACTCATTATCAAAATTTATTATTATTGGATAAATAAGGGAACATTTTATGGTAATTTTGAATAACTTTGAAGAACTTTTAATATGTTAATGATTTGTGATGAATATTTATTGTAATAAACAAATTTGTTTTAAATTTTCATTTTAACTTCTAATTATGTAAATATCACGACAATTTTTTGGAAAGATATTCCGACAAAAGTTATTAAGCTCATTGAATACTATTGATGAAATGGCTCCTTTCTATTTAAAAGAAAAAGAAATTTTTTAATTAATAATGTGGAAACCCAGGACACTCAAGATATTCCCCTTTGTCTTACAACTTATAATGGATATCTTCCTCTATCTTTAATTATTTTTGAGAAAAATGTGAACTTTTTAGACTCACCCTGTATATACGGAACTGCAACGTTGCCTCGCAAAAGTGCAATGCGTGCATTGTTCTCTCGCACGTGAATAACGTCTGTTAATTATTTGACAAAGTGGAAAAAATATCCATCAGTCGCGAAAAGAGAGAGAAAGAGAGACAAAGCGCACTTTACGGTGGAACCACCGAATACTTCTACATTTTTTTCTCTCTTTATGAATATTTTTTTCTCTCTTTATGAATATTTGTCTGCTTAATAACGCGCTTTTCCTTCTTCGTCTTTTTTCCTCACATTTTATTTTATTTTTTATGGAAAATCTTGAAAATTGCTGATCATATTTCATATTGTTAAGTCTCTCTGAATGTACTACTGAATGTACTGTTTTCGCCCTGTGAAAAGGGAGAGTGAAATAGAACAAAATAATATTTTATCCAAAATAATATAAAAATGTACAACAAATTCTATTATATAACAATGACAGGAATAGAGATCGAAAAATGTTAGAAAATATTTAAATGTCAAGGTATGAAAATTAGAATGAGGATTGAGAAAGAGAGAATATTTTTTTGAAAATTTCTCTTGTTCGAAATCTCATTATAATGACAAATACAGCGATAATAAAACATATGAAAATTATAGAGTAAAAATAAATATATTTACATATTGTTACGTGTATTAAGAATTTAATCTCCTCGGCGAAGCTTTAATTGTAGTTGATTTCGGAATAGCATTCGCATTAAATCGAGATTTGAATATCTTAATTATAATTATAAACAAATGTAATTACAGCATATAATAAATAAATAATATTAAATATAAGTAATATAATATATCTAACAATAAATAAGAGGGAAGAAAATTAGAAGAATGATAGTTATAATATAATTATCCGGATTTGGCAAGATTAGACTATACTGAGCCTAAACAAAATGAACAAAAAGATAATTCATTAAATTCACGATTTCTTGTGTACTCGATTATTCACAGTTTATTGCGTAAATTGATAAAAACAGAATATACAGCAAACACAGAATACACATGCAAATTTTTTAATCCGTTTGATTCGAATTTTTCCACAAATAATACATCCCGTTATGCTAGTAGAGAAAAAAAAACGCATTCCGGTCCACCTTCGACCCTCGCGATTTTGGTGCAAAAACTTTTTCTATTGCTCATGTTTTTCCGCTCCTGATATGCGATCTCGCGGATGGCGCGAGAGCAGCGAGAAGGGGAAGAGATGGGAAGCACAGAAGCAGAGAGCATGGAAGCAGGAATAAAGTGGAGTAGACCGGAATAGAGTACAAGGTGTATGCCTAGAAGGTATAGAGAGAAAATGGTAGCCAATGGCGCTGCCTCGGCGCGTCGTTGCTACAGTATTGAACGTCTCTTACGTGGGTCCAGATCTCGTCTTCTCTGTCTTCCTCTCTCTCTCTCTCTTTCTGTGTCCCTCCGTCCCTTTCTTCATCTCTCTCTCTTTTCTTCTCTCTCGCTCGTTTCTTGTTCGTCTCCTCTCTCTTTCTCTTTCTCTCTCTCTCTCTTTTCGAGTCCCGTCCTTCGTTTTCTCTTGGTCCTCGTCCTCTACTTCCTCCTCCCCCCGTCTCTCTGCCGTCTCTCTTTCCTAGCTCTCTCCTCTCTTTACCTTCCCTCTGTCTCTCATTCCGCGTCTCCTGCTGCTCCCTCTGTCCTTCTCTCGTCTTCCCTGCCTTTTACCTCCCTCGCTTATCCCTCTTTCTCTTTCTCTCTCTTTCATCCATCTTTCTCTCGTCTTCTCGTAACCCGACGATGTCCTCCCTCCACGATCTCGTTGTAGGGTGGAGACCCTCCCTGGTCCTCCCTACCTCTACCTCCTCTTCCTTCTCTGTACCAGTGCTTCTCTTCGGCCCTCATCTCACGAGGTGGCGGTGGGAGGAAGGGGTGGAGGAGGAGACCTCTCTCGGTAACCTCTCTCCATCAGAGCCGATCCGTGAGTCTGCTGCCGAGATCCGGAGTAGTGTGAGGTGGCCGCTTCTATATCCTCTCATTAATATCCGACCTTAGGAGGTCCAAGGTGGCCTGTATGGCCGTGGCGGCCCTCTCTGTCAGTTCAGATCTTCAGCGACAATCGTGCGCGATTGCTGCCGTCACGAGAAATAACGTGCCCGTTAGCACACGGAAACAATAATCGAAGCTTTCTTTCAAAGAACGTTCTATATTACTTTTGATGGTTCGTTCTCCGGAAGAGAAAGTTTTTCCGTCATCTCTTACTACTTACTACTTATAAAGTAAAATAAAATTACATGAATAAATTTAGAGATTACAGATTTATAATAAAATAAAATATCTTCTCCTAATATAAACATGTATAGTAATGATAAACTTCTATAATAATCATACACACACACACACACACAATTGTAATTTTAATA